ATTCATTTAAAAGAAACAAAATAAACAAAACAAATTCATCAAAAAGAAAATTAAAACACTGAATGAAAAGGATGCAGAAAGTAGAAAAAAATTCTTACAATATCTGACCCTTATTTAAAAAAATATAAAATAACTTTAAACAAACAACAATTTAGGATTGAGCATCTCCAAAGTGAAAACAAAAATATTAGGCATCTTCACTTGGCACCATACTTTCCTAACGATTTTACCTTAATCATCTTTTTAAACATATAAATTGTTTTAGAAATTGTTATGGTGATATCAAGGCAATTCCACAATCCTACTCCCTGAATTACAAAGCAGCGCTCCTTCACACTAGTTCTAAATGGAGGTTTTACAAACATTTCCATTACCTTAAGAATATAATGACTCTCTTTTTTAACAAATTTTAATTGAATATTTTGGGGTAATATTTTTTATGACTTGTAAAATACTATATTTAACCAAATCATAAATTTTTAATAATTTCAACTGATGAAATATACAGTACATTGCCAAAAGTATTCGCTCACCTGCCTTGACTCACATTTGAGCTCAAGTGGCATCCCATTCCTAATCCTAATCCATAGGGTTCAATAGGACGTCGGTCCACCCTTTGCAGCTAGAACAGCTTCAGCTCTTCTGGGAAGGCTGTCCACAAGTTTAGGAGTGTGTTTATGGGGATTTTTGACCATTCTTCCAGAAGTGCATTTGTGAGGTCACATACTGATATTGGACGAGAAGGCCTGGCTCTCAGTCTCCGCTCTAATTCATCCCAAAGGTGTTCTATCGGGTTGAGGTCAGGACTCTGTGCAGGTCAAGTTCATCCACACCAGACTCTGCATCCATGTCTTTATGGACCTTCCTTTGTGCACTGGTGCATAGTCATGTTGGAAGAGGAAGGGGCCAGCTCCAAACTGTTCCCACAAAGTTGGGAGCATGGAATTGTCCAAAATGTCTTGGTATGCTGAAGCAGTCAGAGTTCCTTTCACTGGAACTAAGGGGCCAAGCCCAGCTTCTGAAAAACAACCCCACACCATAATCCCCCTCCACCAAACTTTACACTTGGCACAATGCAGTCAGACAAGTACCGTTCTCCTGGCAACCACCAAACCCAGACTCGTCCATCAGATTGCCACATGGAGAAGCGTGATTCATCACTCCAGAGAACGTGCCTCCACTGCTCTAGTCCAGTGGCGGCATGCTATACACGACTACATCCGACGCTTTGCATTGCACTTGGTGATGTATGGCTTGGATGCAGCTGCTCGACCATGGAAACCCATTCCATGAAGCTCTCTGTGCACTGTTCTTGAGCTAATCTGAAGGCCACATGAAGTTTGGAGGTCTGTAGTGATTGACTCTGCTGAAAGTTGGAGACCTTTTCGCACTATGCACTTCAGCATCCGCTGACCCCGCTCCATCAGTTTACGTGGCCTACCCCTTCATGGCTGAGTTACTGTCATTCCCAAGTACTTCCATTTTCTTATAATACAGCTGACAGTTGACTGTGGAATATTTAGGAGCAAGGAAATTTCACAACTGGATTTGTTGCATAGGTGGCATCCTACCGGTTCCACGCTGGAATTCACAGAGCTCCCGAGAGCGACCCATTCTTTCACAAATGTTTGTAAAAAACAGTCTGCATGCCTAGGTGCTTCACTTTATACACCTGTGGCCATGAAAGTGATTGGAACACCTGATTCTGATAATTTGGATGGGTAAGCAAATACTTTTGGCAATGTAGTGTATTTGTTGGGTGACCATAGCACTTCCTACTAATAATTCTTATAGCTCTTTTTTGTAAAATAAAAATAGGGTTTGTAATTGTTTTGCATGCTTTTCCCCAAACTTCAATACAGTAGATTAAATATGGAACAATCATTACATTATACAATATATACAAAGCTTTGTCATTCACTATTAATCAAACTTGAACAAAAATGTCCATAAGTGTGAACTTTGCAGATACTGAGATAACATCTGATGTGGCAGTAGCCGTGAGTAAATCACAACACATCTCTGCCTGATTGTGGGTTATTTTCAGTTTTAACGACTACAAGTGTCATTTTTTAACATAGAATGATCTTAGTTTGAATCTATGGCATGAAAAACAGCAAGTGAGACACATTTAAAAATCGTAGTGCATTGGATGTAAACATTTGGTGTTTTAACTACAGTTTGGTATTTTCTTCTTCACTGCAGTTGGGGGAGGTTATGAGACAGTGAAACACTGCAGGCACACCTACTCAAATAGGCCCTCTGCTGAGTCAAGCTTAACCTGAACTAAAAAAAGGTTAAATTACCACGGAGAACTCTATCATTTTACATTAACAATCAGGTTTCTAAAAGGGAAGGCAAACACCATCAGTGGGAAACCTGAGACATTTGGCAGCCCGGGTAGGCCTTTTCTTTTTTTTTTTTTTCCTGGAATCTTCAGCTGCGTTGTTACCAACAATCCTCTGGCATAACTTATCACAGATGACCTGTGATGTCTGCCACCTTTGCTTTGCAGGCTGCCTAATCCCTCAGGTCCACCATTTGTCAAACGGAGGGTGCACAGCGCTGGATAAGCCTCGCACGACACCCCGGCATTTTTCTACGTGTCGGTCTAATTGCAGCCTAATGCTCCTGGGCGTGGAAACTCGCTCGCTTGCATGTGTCCGCGTTCATGATTAAACACATGTAAACATGCTGCCTGCTGAGCTCTGAACTTTGCTCTTTAGCAAGAGGATTTAGGTGGCTACAGGGAGTGGAGGGGGACAGCATGTTGATTTGTCGTCCCCTTTTCTGAGAAACCCAGGTGCACGTAAATCACACAAACACGCTGCTGCCATGCGTGGGTCTGTGTGGTTTTATTTGCATGCATGTCAGAGGACCAAGCATGTCAGACATGAGGAGTCAAATCTCCTCTGCTTGTTCCATCTTGAGCTGCAAGGCAGACGACGAGGGCAAATGCACGCCTTGCTGGCTGCACCACAAATAAAAAACCCGCTGCAGTCTTATCTCGACATTCCACTGACGCAGCCTGATCAGTGGAGCATCAACCATAGCTGGGGCAGCCAGCAGTGACCTCTCACCTTTGGCAAAGAAGCTATAGTGGTAGGAATGTGTTTGTATGTACCAGTAGTGCTTTACTTGGAGAAAGTACAATTAGAGTCTTGCATACCAGTAATAAATATCTGCAGTAAATAGAGATGAATTGCTAGTTTTAGTTGTTAGGATCACAAGAGCAGAGAAACAGCACAAGCACATATTATCTCTGAGCAATCAGAGCTATGAATAGCACCAAGGAGGCTTAATTTCACATGCGACCTTGACACAACCTGGCAGGGTTACAGACCTTTCAGCGTGCACGTGCAAGTAAATTTGCATGACTTACCTTGTCCATGTTTGGTTTGATGCAGCGCACAAAGAAAGGGTTGGAGGCGCTTAACGTGGCCATCAGGGAATGAAGAGAGTCCTGAAGCACAGCAGCCGAAAGAGGTCAAAGATCAACAAAATAAAAGCCACACATTTTGTTGTCAACATATTATTATCTCAGTTTTTTGTTTAATATGTAAAGCCACTAAAGGCACAAAACTCAAGATTTTCTGCCTTTGTTAGTTTTCGCTTGTCTTCCAGCCTTGTCACCAACAAAAACAAACAAACATAAAATATACCCCCACAGGGTGATGAGGCCATTGCCATGTAACCGTTTATCACTACTAGGTCTGTCACGATAACAAATTTTGCTGGGCGATTAATTGTCTCAGAAATTATTGCGATAAACGATAATATTGTTTGAAATTTGACAATAATTAGTAATATTGTCAAATTTAAGAAGAAATTGTTAATTTTTGTGTTTAATACCTTTTTTCGACCGCCGAATGGCAGTATAAGACTGTTTGAACCGAAGGATGGATAGTGAGGGAGTGAGCAGCGTGTCTCTTTAAGAAAAATGGGAGGGAGCCCCCTTGACGTGACATGGGCTGTCTTTCTTCGATTCTCAAAATGGCGGACGCTTGTGGTTTGAGCTCTTTAGCATAGCATTTTTCACACAACACATTTAATAAAAAAAAAAAACAGTAAACAAGTTCTCAGCTTCTTTTTGCAGAGAAAAACAACTTTTTAGACAAAGGCACAGGTTTCAACCGTGAATTTTGGAGTTTCGACAAGACAGAGTTTTTTTTCCAGCGGTCGGCCTGTTAGCTTAGCTCATAGCTTAGCTTCTCAGCTTAGCTGCTTTTAACGATCCAAAAACATGATTTTGGACGGTTAAAATAGATTTTAAAGAGAAAAGGAGGGGTCAATGAAGAGCACCAGGGCTGAGCCTTTTGTCATCCAGTGTCTTCAGCGGAAAGAGAAAGACGAAGAAACAATAAAGCCGATAAATGAAATAATGAAGCCGATCATTTTCATTTATAATGCAATTAATTGATTTATTGATTATTGCGACAGGCCTAATCACTACTTGTCCAAATAGGATTTTTAATGTCTTAAAAGTCCATCTTTAAAAAGCTGACATATTTTTTTACTTTCTTCCCCTTACATATGAAACATACATGTACACATACACACTTAGAGGGCCCTTGAACCTCACAGACTTCCTCTGCTTTGGTTTTCTTTCTGACAGATCGAAGTGTGATTGGCCCCTGGTTGGTCTCCTCTCTCTGCCCAGCCAGCAGCTCTAATCCCCTGGATTTTTGAACTTGCATATGCCAGGGCTGCCTGCCAAATCCTCGTTCTCTCCACACTGAAGTTAGTATCCCCTCCTCCACCCACCGCCTGGCTTACAACGGCATTTCCCCCTCCAGCCCATCACCCATCTTCTATAAAAGCGTTATTTAGGACATGTGCCATGTCTTACCCTGAACTGAGAGCTGACGGTGGGCTTACGGCGAGCTGTGCCCATCTTTAGAGTCTCGTCTCCACCTCTGCTGCCGACACGTTCAAAGAGGTCGTAGATGAAATCCAGCCTGAGGACAAATGAAGTTAGAGGTAATTAAAGTAACATATTCCTGTGAGCTGAATGGTGCGCAGGTGAGTACAGAGTAAAGAGGACGTGTGCTCACCTGCTGTCTTTGAGAATAAACAAAATGTCATCTCTGAAGGTGTCTCTGTTCTTCTCCAAGATTCCTCGCGCATCATACAACACCTTCACAGGTTTAAAGAAAATACACGTGTATCATACAAGATGTAAAAAAGAGCATAAAGGCAAGTATCTTAAATATCCATATGTTTGATTCTGAAAAGTTTAGTGTGGTTTTAATGCCAAGTAGTCATAAATGTTCTTCAATTGGAGAGGAATTACTCAGGAATAAAGTTGTTTTATCTTTACAGTCCATCAATCTTACATATGTACACATGACATGAGTGATTTATAGTGACTGTAAATGAGGTTTTGCAGGAAAAAAATCACCTCAGGGCCTAACAGAGCACAGCAGAACGTGTCTGTGTGAACACCTTTATCAACAGTAACAAGAATTTCTGTGGATCTGCCTTCTCCAAAAAAAAAAAAAAAAAAAAAGAAATTAGACACAAAACAACTCCACTCTAACGTGTCTGTGTGCAAAATTGACCAGTTTATGTAAGCATGAGCTTTTAATTATGTTTATTTCCAATGGTTAAACGGCTTTATAAAGTCCAAACTGAAACATTTTGCTACAAACACGCCTTCACAGATCCATAAACAAACGTGTTTAAAAAATTTGGCCTAGAGTTTTGAAAAATAGCCAATGAGCTCCAGGTAGATAGGTCGATCCCAATACGAGATCAGCTTTAAATGATTTATATTCCCACTTTTGATAAACTTGTGGCTCTCTTTCTCTTTTTAGTGTATATCTTAGATCCTTATATGACCTTTTAATTTTACACTTCATATTTTTGTTATTGTTGGGTGTAACTGGGACCCTGAGCACATACTGTAATTTCATTCCATCTCATGTACCACATGTGATGTAAATGACAATAAACTTGTCTTGAACTTGAACTTCAATAGGATATCGCTCAGTGTTCTTACTCTAATCTGTATGAATAAAAGCCCCAATTTCTTTTTATGTTTAAAAAAAAAATCTGTCTTTCTTTCTTAATCTCTACAACTAAATATTGTTGAACTAGTGAACTAACAACTACGGGTGTAGCTAAGGTGGCGACGATCCTCTTTTGTCTCTTGACCATGCTCTGACTAGCCATTAGCTTGTCATTTTCTTCACAATTGAACTACTTCTTCACACAGAGCTATCCACAATAAGTAAAATAATGGATGTTTGAACTGCAATGCCTTTCCACAGAACCCCACTTCAAGAGATCTGAACTTTTGCTTAAGAGGCAAGTGAAGGGAAGAGGGACAACGGTCCGTCTTCTCTGAACCGGGTCATTAGCATAACTATCCCTGCCAGTCTCGTGACGGAGCTGCTGCATCAAACTGAGGGGACCTTGTCCCAGACAGGTACCACAAAGCCATTCATTATGAAGCCAGATCCCGCTGGACCTAAATCACATCCGACCCATATCTTCCCTCTGCCCTGACTGCCTCCTTGCCCTTTCCTTCTTCCAGGAGTAAATCCTGTTGTCATGTAAGCAAAGGAGCAAGATGATGACGGTGAAACGGTTTCTCCTGACTCAGGAAAAAGGATGGTGGAGGAGGGGTGAGACATTAACATCTTGCAGAAGAGTTTTGGCAGAGAAAGGGCTTCTGCTCATCCAAGTCGACTCACTTCCATGAGCATTTAATCTAAAAGAAGAGAAAGAAACCGGTGTGTGTGTGTGTGTGTGTGTGTACAAGTGTTTTTGTTCACCTCTCCAGCATAGTGCTTAATGCCAAACTGGTTGTCGGTCACTCTGGGCTTCACATAGTACTGGTTTGCCTGGTGAAAAAAAGAAAAAATATATTATGAATTTTTTTTTAACATAATAAATATATGTTTCCCAAATTTTCTGATAATTTAACAGATAACTTACTGATATTTGAGGCTGTAACTAATTATTACTGACAACAAAATACTTTCCGCTGGCTACGAGCTCTTCTTTAATGTTTGAGTTTAGCTAAATCTGAAAACTTTTCCCTTTATAGTTTATTTTCTCACAAAGAAATACAACTACAATAGTTTCACAGTCTTTATATAAAAAAGAAAAGCAGATATTCTAACAAAGATGCTGAAGTATCCATGTTGCACCAGTAGGGGGCAGTCTGGTTGACCTAAACAACATCAAAATATAAATAAAAAAAAAAAAAATCAACATTTCCTCTCAAGCATCAAACTTTACTGTGCTTGATCAAGTTTTGATGCTAACAGAGTCGAGCTAAAGCAAACCAGATACATAAAACACATTCTAATGTTTAATCTGATGTATTCAGCTGCATTACACTTGGTATTATTTTCAGTTATCCTTATTGAGCACAAAAATATTCTAATAATAGTGTTTCGACAACCACAGTAATATTTGGTTTGGTGTGTCTCATTTGGTATATATATGTTTTTTTTTTCTCTAAGGAGCATCAAAATCAGCTGCAGGTTTGATAAGAGACGTTTAAGAAATGCTACAGTTGATAGAATGTTTACATGATGGAGGTTTCCTATGTCACAAAGAAAACTTTTGGAGACTTCAAAATAAGGGCCAAGGGTTAGGAGAGCCCTTCTTCCTTACTTTCTTTGTAAAGTTTACACTGGTACACCAAAAACAACATCTTAAACAATATTCTCTTATTTGTAGAAGTCAGTTTTTCTTACTAAAAGTGTTCAAATATATGATAAATTGCATGTTTACATTCTCACTCATACATTGATGAGCGTATTAGTGGACAACGAGGGGTTCAGTTTTTTGCTCAAGACATTTCCACGCACTGCAGAGGCTGGGAATCGAACCCCCGCTCCTCTGATTGTCAGAGCTCAACACCCGGGGGAAAGGTCAGGTGGTTCCTATAATAAGTTTTCTTGTTGGTGTTGTTGTTTTGTTATTAGCCATAGAAAACACTCTTTTCTCTCCCACACAAAGCTGATCAGACCTGGAGAATGGCTGATCACATTTCAGCATTGTTGTGTGTGAGAGCGCACAGAGGGCGTGTTCAAGCTGCAGCACACCTGCCAGGAATGATGTTTAACTCTTTATTATCAGATATGGGTCATTCATTTATTGCTTTACGAGTGTCTTTGAGGGTTAGAGTGTGCTGCTGCACCGACGAGGGCGACACAGAGGTTTTCATTGTGTGGACTCACTGCGTGTCGGCTGTGGAGCTTCTCCAGAAGGGTGTAGTCTGTGCCTTTGGGGAAGCGACTTTCCTCGTTGATAAGAGCCAACATGCCCAGTTTCTAAAGGGGGAGACAGACGGAAGAAAGAGGGTGAAGCTCATCGCAGTCATGACAGAACTAGTTGTAATCCCACATCTGGCAGCTTGTATTAGAACAATACAAGCAGGAAACAGCAACGTAAATCAGTTTTGTCCTGTATTTGTGAAAAAGAAGCCCTTCGTGTATGGAGATGCTCAGAGTCACATGTTTACAGTTATAAAACCCCATTAATGTAGCAACAGTAACATAAGAATATACAAAAAAAATCACAAGAATGTGCATAAATAAATAGGATAAAGCAGTAAAAGTATGTTTTTTATGTTTTCTTTGGGAGCCCAGGCCAGTCTTTGTAATGGCTCGACATCATTTATAACTCTGGTGGGCAAAATAACAAATTGTTGTCATGCTTTATTTCAACCAGACCTCGAACCGCTGACTGGTGTGCATTACTGTTTAAACAACGCGCAAACTGAGACTATATAATGATAGAGTCGGAGAGGGGAGTCGGTGTAAGCACAGTGTGGCGTCTGGGTCAGCCCGCTTCGGCTGGTGGTTAGTGGTCAGAACCCCAGGGATGGTTTCGCTCTTTCACGGTCTGACTGCGTTACCTTCTCTATGAGATCCAGACACTCTGCGTTATCCATCCAGTCTATGGCTTCCCACTGGATCCCCTCCCTGTGATGACACACACACACACACCATGTATATATACAAAAATAAACACGCAGACGACACAATGGCTGTGTTATCCAGCATCACACGTGATGAAATGAGCCGTGTCCAGGCTGTTGGTCTTCCAGAACTGAGCCCGGTGGGTTTTATTTATTTTTTATTTTTTGCCGTGACTAGACCCACCTCCCCTTAACTAACAGCCCCATCTTTCTGTGGAACAGTCTTAGATGCATATCAGACGTAAATAAAACGAGGCCGCGTGTATGGTTTGACCTGTTGTACTCCAGCTGCTCCAACGAGAAGATGTGCTTGTTGAAATACTCCTGGAGCTTCTCGTTGGCGTAGTTGATGTTGAACTGCTCGAACCGGTTCACCTGCAGGATGGAAGAAGAGAAAAAGAAGCCCCACATTGTAAATTTACAGCTCGCTTCGGATAAGTGCTTCTGTTTGAAGGGATCAAGCGTCATATCCTCATATCGTAACAATATACCTGAAGGTTTGAACTAAGTTTAACTTTTTACATTTCCTGATGGATGCTCTTAAACACCTTTAGAGAAAATGAATTTTTCCATCAGGCTGCAAAAGAAATGCGTCTTCAAAATAAAAACTTATCTTTAATTTATTTCAGTATGGCTAGACTGAGGCAGCACGGTGGCGCAACTGGTAGAGCTGCTGCCTCTCAGCGAGAAGGTCCTTGGTTCAAATCCCGGTCCAGGGGCCTTTCTGGGTGGAGTTTGCATGTTCTCTCCGTGCATGCGTGGGTTTTCTCCGGGTGCTCCGGTTTCCTCCCACAGACCAAAAACATGCATGTTAGGCTGATTGGTAACTCTAAATTGTCCCTAGGTGTGAGTGAGAGAGTGAATGTTTGTTTGTCTCGTTTGTCTCTATGTGTCCCTGTGATGGACTTGCGACCTGTCCAGGGTGTACCCCGCCCCTCGCACAGTGATTGCTGGACATGGGCACCAGCGACCCCCGTGACCCAAAATGGAATAAACGGGTAAAGATAATGGATGGATGGATGGATGGCTAGACTGATAAATAAATAAACAAACAAACAATAAAAATAAGCCCAATATTATATTATATTAATTATGTTTTTTGTGTTCCATGCAGACAATTAAGATTGAACATAAAATTGTAAATAGTTCATAATAATACTTCATTTTGTATTTTGCTTTGTGTGTTACCTGTTGTTCTGTCTGTACAGCACTTTGGTTGGCCTTGTCGCTGTTTTAAGTGCTCTATAAATAAAATGGTATGGTATGGTATAATATATCATTTAAAGCTTCAGACCAGATTTCAGTTTTTTTCTTGGCAAACAGGATTAAAAAATTATTTTTTTACATGGATTTTATTCAAGGGAAAACTTTTTTCTCCATTTAGCAAATAGAGTAATGAGACGAGTGTTGTTGGCTGCTACTAACGTTCATTTGTCTTTGTCATCAAATACTTTAACATTGAGCCTGAAAGCTTTTTTGGACGTCCTGATGTTGTATTCGATTTCTTTATTGTTGCTGTGCTCCTCTGCCTCTCCGATACACTAAGCTTATTGGCCCGAGCAAAATCAATATTAGAGCAAACGTTGCCAAAAGCGACAGATTTAAAGCTACTCATACCATGACATTAACTGCTGTTCCTAACAAGGTCTAACAAATGTATTTATCTTTATTCAAACACATTACGTTATCATTTAAAACTGCAATTTAAAAACAATCTAGTGGTATTGTCAAAATTAGTTTTAAATTTTGACAATAACTTGTCGGGGTGTGTTGTTCTTCCAGATTTTCTTAAACCAGTAAGAAGAAGTGGCAGGGAAGAAAAATAACAAGTATACCACATACAGCCCATTACACACCCAACAACAAACTTACTTTAATCTATAGCAATGGCAAGCAAAAGTCTTGTATTACATTTGACCTTGACCTTGAATCTGGGTTGATGAAACATGCATGTGACACTCTATCTAGTGACATTACATAATATGAAGTTTCTTTAAATGATCTTGAGTTGTGCAGTCCAGTTTTGGACCAAGTTTTGGTCCAGACAAGAAAGTTTACAGGCCGCAGGTGCGGACTTTTTTTCCCCTGAATTGTGCTTATACCTCAAAGTTCTCAAAGCCGAAGATGTCCAGGATGCCGATGGACTTGAAGTTGTCCTTCCCTTTGATCTTCTGATTGATCCTCATTATGATCCAGGAAAAACACTGCGAGTAAAGCGCCATGGCAATGGAGTCCCGCGAATCTAATGCCTGCAGAAGATAACAGAGAGATAACAGAAAGAGACCGCCATGGAGACCGTGTAATGCACGGGTAATAGAAAAGAGAAAACTTTGCAGACACTAGTCGAAATGCAGGACATATATCAGCACAGAACACATTTAATTAGTCCTCAGATGGTGGTGAAAGCAATTAAAAACACTGATTTGTTTGATTGACGCTGTGTGAGGCCTCATCAGCGGGTCCATAAAACAAATAGTGGTTCGGAGACAGAGGCGTGTTGTCTCAGCGTCTGTCTCTTGTCTGTTGACACAACACACAACTCTGTTTGTCATCGACATATCTGAGGAGTGATGCACTCCAGGCGGGTTTTCTCTTAGAAAAATAATCCAGCTAAAACAAAGCACTTGAGGATAATAAAACCGCATGCTTTCAGGATTTTTATTGCTTTATTTTCCGTCTTTTTTAACACACAGTACAATAAATTAAGATTTGCTGCATAAAGAGACAAGAACCGTGCATGACCCAGAAGTGTTGTATATATCTGGCAGAAAAATACAAAGATCACAAAAGTATGATGGAAAGTTTAATGAAAATACTGAGGAAAAAATGGACAAATTTATAAAACTCAGAAATGTGTTGAACATTTTAATCACAATTATTCTAGCCTTTCATCAACATTCCTAGAAGATCTTGCACATCAAAATAGTTAATAAAAAATTAATTGGTAACACTTTACAATAAGGTACACAAAATTTGATTAACTACTAGGGAACGCCTAAGGAACAAATCAGGAGCTAATGGGTAGTTAACCAGTTCTTAATGGGGAACACACAGCCAAGCCTTATCAGGGGACTACTGGTTAGTTACTTTGTAAATGAAGAGGAACTAATCAAGAACTAATGGGTAGTTACCAAGAAAACCAAAAAGGAACGAATCAGGAGTAATGGGTAGTTAAGCAGTACTTACTGGGGAACACACAGCCAAGCCTTATTCAGGGACTACTGGTTTGTTACCACAGAAACAAAGGAGAAATTCTCCATGTGGTTCTGAATAAACTCTGCACCAGTGAGGTCACAGCTCGTACTTGTCAAAAACCTGTTTCCTAGTGATTACTGATTTTAATACCCGTTAGCTCCTGATGCGTTCCTCTTTATTTTCTTTGGTAACTACCCATTAGTTCTTGATTAGTTCCTCTTTGTTTACAAGGTAACTAACCAGTAGTCCCCTAATAAGGCTTGGCTGTGTGTTCCCCAGTAAGTACTGGTTAACTACCTATTAACTCCTCATTTGTTCCTGATTCATTCCTGAGGCGTTCCCTAGTAGTTATTCAAATTTTGTGTACCTTACTGTAAAGTATTACCATATAATTATAAATTTTAGGCCATCTTACAAGCAATCCTCCCTAAAATCTAGATCAGCATCTGTCAAACTGATTGAGTTATATAGCCTTATTTGTGTTAGCTAAGGTGGCCATCTTGAATCGAATTGACTTCAAAAGTTCAAATCAAGCTTGCCGTGTTTTTCGGACTATAAGGCACTCAATAAGGTTTCCCTTAATGCGCCTTATAATCCGGTGCGCCTTATAGCCCGAAAAATACGGTGTTTTAATGAAATTGTGTGTGCATATTTCCCCCCAACAGTTAAAACTCAAACCTGATTTCCCTCATGCTTTCAGCCAAACATCATTTGTGCACGTTTTATAAAGAGTCTGATCTTGACGGCTCCACTTCCTCCACAGGTATTGTCCCTGAGCTGAACATTAAACAAATGTGTCGGTGTGCGCTGCACTTGGAGCAACAATGCTGCCGGACATTTCTGAGCAATCCATCATGCTTTGTGCCGCTACCGGGTGTGGAGCGCAATGGTGGCTCCAGAGTCTTCGTCACAGGGGTGAGAAGAATGGCCGTTTGTCCTACGATGGCGTGGACTAAAAAGTGCGGGGGAGACGGCTGTGGCGTGGGGTCCACTGAAGGAGACAGTGCAAGGGGGGAATGACCCCCGAAGCCATTTTGTGAGAAGAAGTCATTATTGCAGACTCCAGGACTGGAATAATAAACTCCTTTAACAGACAAGTTGCTTCAAAGGCCAGGCACAACGAGCAGCAGCAGAGTGACAGTACGAGCTCTTTGTCTGCTAATGAAAAGCTTTCTTGTGGCTTTCGTGTCTTTGTGATAATAATAAAGGTCTGTGCTGCACATTCACTGACATTTATGGTCGTGAGTGGGCCAAGGAGGTCCAGCTCGGCCAAGAAATGACTGTGTCACGAGTCAGACTGTGCTTGTGGCATGTGCTGGACGGGGTACCACATGCAAATGACAACTTGAGAAATGTTCACAGGAATTACAGACGACAGCACGGAAATTTGAAACACAGACAGTCACACGAGTGACTTATTATGCCAGCGTCTTGGTGGCTGTCGGTTGCACTGATTCCAGGGGAGAAGACTCGAACTTCACCCCCCCTAGCCACTGGGTTCATTGTGCTTTTGACTCAGATCAGTATCACGATGGTTTATTGTGCCTGGAATCTGGCAGACAAAAAGCAGGAAATGACTGGGAGTCACGCAAGGGATCTGGAGAGACATGTGGTGTAGGGCAGCACAGAAAGACTCTATGTGTGTGTGTGCGTGTGTGTTTGTGTGTGTGAAAGCAGGGCGAGGAGTGAGGATAGGGGACAGCAAATACACAGATTCCCTTTCATCCAATCCTAAGAATGTACACTGAACTCTGGGAATACTAACAGGAAAGCTTCCAGTGTTATCTGTGAGGCTGGATGTGTTGTTACCTGCTCCACGGTGAGGGGGGAGCAAATCTCCTCCCCCCTGAGGATCATGGAGCGCTGGGTCAACACCTCTGACAGCTGGAAGGAGTCCAAGCCTAGCAGCTCGCTGACGTTACTGACCACTGAAACACACACATGTACACTGCAGTGTATGTACAAGTAAAGCAGGACCTAATAGTTAATTTCTACCCAAGCCAGACAACAGGTCAGACATAAAGACCGTGATCCAGCACAGTCCAGAGGAACCTCTTCTTTGCCATGGAGTTCTGCAGTCACTGACAGGTTCTTCAGAAACCAGGTCAGACACCGCAAACAAAGGAGCCTTAGGTTCATGTTACAGCCTGTTCCGAGCTTTTTCTGCTCATGCAAAGTCAATCAAACTCGGGCGTACAAGCTGAGTGCAACATCACGAGGAACATACCGCCATTGTTTTGAGCGAACACACCGTAGTTCTAGATTTTTTTTCTACACAGTTTTAATACCACATGTGCAACATGTTCTCGAACACTTCTTGTTTTTGCAGTGAAGTTCCATTTAGATTAAAAACAAATATAAAATAATGTATTTTTAGCTTAAATCTGGATGCTAACAATGAGATTGTAATCTTGTGTTTGGGCATTTTTGCTCTTACAGGCCAAAGTACTTTTTAAAAAAACGGTTTATGATTTTAGTGGCAATTTCTTCTGAGGTGTAGTTCAAAGTTTTTTGGTGAGGGGTTCAATGGTGAGGTTATGAATGAAAAATATCTTATCTGCTTTAGATAACTTGTTTTGGTGAAATAAAGTTCAGTTTACGATTAGCCGTCAGCCCGGGCAATCTAACTGCTAATCTGCGTGAACTGCTATAGTCTTAAAAGTAGAGTTTTGTTATAAACCTTCATTATTACACATTTATTCTTGCAGAAATAAGATTTATTGCTTTAAGTTTCACAGGATAAATTATAAGCGCTGCAGATAAAGTGCTGTGTTATCATCATTCCCATACAATGGCGAAATTAGTTAACCCAGGGATACACCCAGGTGGAGCAGTGGGCAGATATGTAAGCACCCGGGGAGCAATTAGGGATTGCTGGTAGATGTCTTGCTCAGAGACACACCACGGCATGTGGGAATGGCTGGGGATCAAACCTGGGACTTTCAGGTCGCAGGTTGGCTGCCCACCTCTACCCCATAGCTGCCACTGCTGCTATTTGTGCTTGAAAATAAGCACAGATTCTATATAAATCTATATAAAACTGTACAAAGTAAAATTGTAAACAAGGCTTTGGACAATGTGCTGCAGATGCCACATTCAGTCAGGAATATTGTATCAGAGACATCATATAAAAAATTACAAGGATGAAGCACACAGATGGATCCACGCTGCTTTATGCAACACCTCCATCAGTGTAGCTCCAACTCTCTGATTGCTGTAAATCTGTTCCTGCCTCCGTCATTTTACCTCCATTTGATGTGATCTGAGCTCCACCGGCCGTCATGAACTCAATGTTGCCCATTTGAAGGACGGCAGACAGGAGCCTGAACACATCTCTGATCTCCTCCTCCGTGAATGCCATCACTTTAAGAGCTTCCTGAAAAATAAAGCAGATACGATCACAGTTGGGACTCTTCAAACACAATAAATGTGTTCAAGACTTGATTTCAGCTGGAAAAAAATTCCCCCTTGGAAAAACAAATGTTAATGGACTATGATAAAATTTGAAATATGCTCATAAAAAGCAACATGATATAGTTGACTAAAATATTTCCCAAATGGCTGGTGAGTTCTCTGGAAGTTGGACTTAATGGGTTTTGGATATTATTTGTTGTGAAGGCATATAATGCCCTCTGGGGGTGAAACATCCTCCTCACCATCACACTGTTGAAGAGCTGCTTGTCATCCAGACTACCATCCTGTACGCAGCCTGCTTGGCTCAGGTAGTGATACGACTCAGGACCTTCAGACAAGAGGTACAAGTCTGCAACACAAAGTAATGGGAAAAAAAATCCAACAATCCACAAGAAATAGTCATCTAACTGTAAAAAAAATATTCTGGAACATTAAGCAGACACAAGAAATCAACACTTAAAAATATATGGGGTGCCGTTTGGAAAGTTACACAGTCAAAAATTAACAGCAATATTTTGGTTTATTTATCCTTTAATAAGAAAAAAAGGCTTTTTTTTTTCTAAGTCATATTTTCACCATGTTATTCATACATTGTCAAATAAATGTCATAGTTCCAAACTAAATGTTTAATTTACAAACTAAACATTTAATTTCTAAGCTAAACATTTAATTTTCTAACTAAATATTTAACTCTGACCTAAATATTTAACTTGCAAGTTAGTTAGTAAACTAAATATTTAAGCATAAATTAAATATTTACTTTCCAAGACACTTATTTAATTTCCAAACTAAATATTTAATTTATAAGTTAAACATTTAATTCCTAAACTAAAGATTTAATTTGTTAACTAAATATTTAACTCGGATCTAAATATTTAACTTGCAAGCTAAATAGTTAGGTCTGAGTAAAATATTTAGTCTGCAAATTCAATATTTTTTTGGGGAAATTAAATGTTTAGCTTAGAAAATAAATGTTTAGTTTGGAAATTAAATATTTAGCTTGGACAATAAATATTTAGTTAGGAAATTAAATATTTAGTTTTGAAAATAAATATTTAGCTTGGAAATTTAATATTTAATTTACATCTAAATATTTGGTTTACTAACTAAATATTCAACTTGCAAGTTAAGTATTTAGTTTGTAACTAAATATTTAGCTTGTAAATTAAATATTTAGTTTGAAACTATAACATTTATTTGACAATGTATGAATAACATGGTGAAAATATGACTTTGAAAAAAAAACTTTTTTTTGTTCCTCAAGAAAGGCTATAAATAAACCAAAATATTACTAAATATTGCTGTTAATTGTTGACTGTGTACCTTTTCAAACGGCACCCCATAAAACACAGAGTTGTTTAAAATGTTAGGAACTGAAAAAAAGCATCTGATTGGAAACTAAATGCGGGAAGAACAAACCTCTGTGGTCTCTGTCGGCCCCTGCTAACAGCGCATAAAAGATGTGGTAATTTCTCTCGCCGGGATTCTGACGAACCACACGGTTCTTGGAAAGAAGCAGTCGTTAGAAAACAGCTTCAGAACTAAACAGGTTTCTTTCTAAATGTTGGTAATAAACAACAAAACGTCTGAAAGTTTCTGCACAAGACAAACTTACCTTTTCCAGCAAATCTGATGATTGAAAGTTAAAGGATTACTGAAAAGTTTTAATGAATCAGCTTATGTGTAAAACACTTGTTCATAATCCAACAAAGTTCAGTCAGTTCCTCTGGACGGTTTATTTTTGTTGAAACGTTTCGTTTTTCATTTAAAAGACTTCATCAGTCCGAGGAGCCACAACAAACTCAAGTCTTAAAAGCACCTTCACATAGTGGGTCAACAAAAAAAAAACTATCCAGAGGACCTGCCTTAACTTTGTTGGATTTTTTTACCTGGATTATTGAGCATGAACTTTGATACTTCTTCATAGTATTTTTGAGTTGCGTTATGAAGGATACAATCGATGATGCAGCCTCCCTGAATGTTTCCGTTCTGTGAAAAGTGCAGCTGAATGAACTTCCCGAAGCGGCTGGAGTTATTGTTGTAAACAGTCTTTGCGTTCCCAAATGCTTCCATGATGGGACTGAAGACAGAAAAAAAAACTATTAAGAGCAAAAATACCAAAAACATTCTCCACCTTCTATTTTTTGAAGAAGTCAAAAAATGATTCAAGAAGTCTGTTGGATGACGGACAAAACGTCTCAGCACAAAAAAGAAACGTCCAGATGACCTGACTAGACATTGTTGGATTTTATACCTGGATTATTGAGCATGGACTTTGGTGCTCTATCTTCTACTGTTTTTCCAAAGTATGGTAGCAGAAGTAACAAGTCCAGGAGAGAAATCCAGACATCCCTCTTTCCAGTGACATTATCCATCTCGAGACCATGAGGCATTCCCAGACCAGAGAAGATACACAATCGCTCCAAAATCTGTGTCTGCCCTGGGGCTTCTTACCAGAGGGACGTACCCAGGAAACATCTAAATGGAGGCGTCCAGGAGGCATCCTAATCAAATGCCCGAACCACTAATTCATTTCGATGTGAAGGGACAGCAGCTCTACTCCGAGCTTCTAACAGATGACGGAGCTCCTCATCTCTAAAGGTCCACCCTATGAAGGAATCGCATTTCAGTCACTTGGTCTTGATCCAAACCTCATCACCATAGGTGAGTGTTGGAACATAGACAGACCAGTAAGTCAAGAGCTTTCCCTTTCAGTTAAACTCTTTCTTTACCACAACCAATCAAAGCAACGCCCTCATTACTGAGGATGAGGTCCCAATCTGTCGATCCATCTCCCACTCCATCCTACAATCACTCGTGAACAAGACGTCCAGATACTTGAGCTCCTCCACCTGAGGTAAAGCCACTCACCACCGGATCTGAGAAAAGGGACAGCTCACCTGCACCGAGAACAAGCTCGACTTCATGCCAAAAACCAAAACATAAATCATTTATTGCCAAACCTTTTGTGGTTCCCAATGGACATATTTGCAAAGTCATTCTTTAAGACAAAACCACTCTGAAACTAACCAAATATAATAATATTCAAGCACAAATGTACATTAAGAAATCAAACAACACATTAAATAGAAAAAAATATATATTGGAAATGATATTAGTTTGACGTGAAAAAAAATAGATGAATTAAATCTTTAGGCAGCTTTAATACATTTATTCAGCTAAGAGTCTTTTTGCAAAACTTTCTTTTTTATGCAAAAATGAATTGAAAATGCATCACTACAAGCCTCATAAGAAAATTCACCTCAAGTATGGAAAAGATGAGTGTAGGGTGGGAGGAAGAAAGCCCACAGATCTGAGGGAGTAATACTGTTTGATAACAATTAACTAATACCTTTGATGGTAACTAACTAGAAAATCTGATAAAAGCAGAGGCATTCTTGCAGAAACTACATAAAAAAGCATAAAAAAACAATGGTCTGCTGTCAGATCCTGCATCTGGATGAGTTTATGGAGCAGAATGTGATTTGGCTTGTTGTCGGTGTAAATGCCTCATCAGAAGGTCAGCGTTTGGAGGAGGGAGGAGGACAGTACCTGCTCTGGACGAGAGCCTGCTCCACCCTGGTGGTCCTCTCGGACAGAGGTGAACCGGACGAGTTCTGACTCATCACTGAGAGGAACTTCAGCAGCAGCTTGGTGCTCTCGGTCTTCCCAGCACCACTCTCCCCACTGAAGATGCACAGACACAGAGATCAGTGGAAGCACGACCTCATCGTCACCACAGCCCTGATGAACAACGTTCCTCCAGAACAGTGTATTTACAGTAGAAGTCCTGACCTGATGAGGACGCACTGACTGTCGTGTCTCTTCCACAGGCAGCAGTAACATTCGTTGGCCACAGCGAAGATGTGAGGAGGCAGCTCCCCCATCTGGTGTTTGCTGTACAAGTCCACTGCCGTAGCATCGTACAGGCCTGCTATCTGCTTATACGGGTTTACTGCAGCAAGAATCGAACCTATGTTGGTCTGAGCGACACACAAATGATGAAACGAGTTAAATGACAGACGAGAAAGCAAACAGGAAGACAGAAGCTTATGAAAGACAAAAGTACAGTCATGAGTTGGCAGAATAATTATTAGCAATTTATATGAGAAGCTGTCAGCCTTAAAGTGATTCTGTGGAAAGTTTAGGAACAATTAATATCTAATTTATTGTAGAATGATGCAACCTCAGTTTGGAATTTAAAAAAAATCTGATCAAACTGTTGAGCTACAGATTAGCTAATGGTCTTAAAACAACTTAAATTTTAAAACATTCATAATGTAGGAATTGTGCTTTTGTCCTTGGTGTTGTGTTCATGTCTGTGTTTCCCTGATCCTCTGTTTATGTCTCTACAGGGTTGGTGTTACTTTGGTGTCTAGCCCCATCTTGTGTTGTGTTTATGTCCTGCATCTTCAGTCTTTGTCTCCTGGCATCTGTGATCACTCACAGGTGCCTTCACTTTGTCTGATTGGTGTTTCTCTCTGTATAAGTCTGTGTCTCTGTGTTAGTCTTTGTCCTGGCATTATCTACTGCTCACTGTTGATGACTTGTCTGTTTTATAAGTACCACCTGTCCATCCTTGTTTGTTTTTGCTGCCCTGTCAGCTCTTTTGTTTTGTTAATAAACCTTGTATTTTTATATATAAATCCTGAGTCCTTGCCTGCTTGCCTGCACAACTGGGTTCACCAGCACCAATCGTGACTCACAATGGTTCATGCAAACACTTTTTTTTATAATCCTTTTCATTTTTGTCAACTTTACATTACATTGTTTAACATACAGACTTTTATGGCTATTTGTGAGCACTAATAGTAATAGCAGGAGCTAGCTGTTGCACGTCTGGCAGCAATCTTGCAATACCATGAAGTACACCATGAAGTTTAGGTACAAAATGTAGAAAAGCTCCTTAAAATGAATCAAACATCCAAAAACCTGTAGGCCGATCTGTAACAGTCTGGGGTTGTGGCTTCTACAAGTACCATACGTCGCACACTAAAAAGTGTTACTGAAAATACACAAAATGGAACGACTGATCTTTGCCATGGATAAACATCAGTCCTTCTGGGAAAAGGTTCTGGAGACAGATGAAACAAAACGTGAGCTCTTTGGCAGTGTACACCAACATTTTGTTTACAGATTCTGCAATGCAGCACACAAGGAAAACAAAACCCTGCCCACAGCTAAGCATGGTGGAGGATCCATAATGCTGTGAGGCTGCTTTGCTGCATCTGGATCTGGAAGCCTTAACTGTATCACAAAAATCATGAAATTGGAAAAGTACTAAGAGATTTTAGAGCCAAATGCCCACCCAGTGTAAAAAGACTTGGCTTGAGTCAAAGGTCATGGGTCCTTTAGGAAGATAAAAATCTGAAGCACACATTCAAAGCATGCAGGATTGGTTCAAAAAGAAAAATAATACTGTTTTAAATGGCCAGGAATGAGTCGTGATCTCAATCCTACTAAAAAATTTTGGCACCATCTGAAGTTTGCCATTGGGGAAAAGTAACTTGCAAACATTCAAGAGCCTAAACAAACTGCGAAAGAAGAGAGGGAGAAATTACCAGCTAAGAAGTGCAAAAATCTTATAGAGGGCTACTAAAAAGGTTTGGAAGTTGTCATCGCTGCCTAAAGTGCTGCCACATTAAGGAGGGTTACCAATATTACTGTCCATGTGGTTTTCTCAGTTTTTTTCTTGAAATTACATATTGTAAGCTGAAAATCAATGTTTTTTTTGGTTGTATTACTTTGTAGTTCCAATGAATAAAAACTTAAAATTTTTGACGTTATTGTAAATGGTGTGCAAAAACACGATGGGATGCCAATAACGGTGAGCAGAACTGTATTTGTGCAAAATAACCATGCAGTGTGATGCAAAAATTAATAAAATAGCATTTGCACGCACTATAAAATCCCTGAGACTAAAGTTGATTAAGAGGCAGCAGTTGACTTTGGTCTTGGCTCTGTTTAAGCTACCGTAGATTGTTCAAAGTACATTCGAGACAATATTTATTTGTCTTTATCTAGCCACAAAAACCTCACCAAAATATGTGAACTGTAGTTTTTTTTTTAGAACTTTGTGTCTTGTTTTGAGCAACCTTGTACAATTATCTAGCACTACCAGATTTAAGATTCACCCTTCCTCAAACACATGACCTTACATTAGTAATATTCTCCTATTTCTGTGTGTGGCCATGTTTGCATAAGGCTGCTAATATTTTAGGATCAACTGATCCAGTTTGAGTCGTGCTCTTTAGGGAAAAGTGTCTCTGGAAAGTGTGTTTGTGGGTCACTGTGTTAAATTTGTATCATTCTGAGAGACGGAACAAGTAAAACCCCCCGAGATGAGATTAGATGATGGGATTTCCAAAAATTCCCCATGTAATTATTTTAATAAAACCTGCACAATTGCAGTGGAACTTCAGAGCTCGGCTGTGAAAGCAATCCTACGAGGCAGACAAATTCAGCCCCACAGACCCTTGGTTCATAACACAGTTATGCTCGCTGGTTCAAACTCACATAAATGTTGTCTTTCTGGTAGCGCAGAAAGAGGTTGTGCATGATGGCAGCTTCATGCAGCTCTGAAAGTGTGGACATGTCTTCCACTCCATGGATGCTGCTGGGGTGCATTGGGCACGCCGTCTCTCTGTTCAGATCCTCCCTTTGTAAACAAATCACCTGCAACAGAACACATAGGACACATTCTGGATTATTTCTGACAATTACTGTATTGTACAAATATGTTGCATCAGTGCAGGCGTTTTTAGTGACCTAAAATTGAAGAGGAGCTGGTTAACATGATTACTAATATAACTACTGTACACTCAGTATTGGCAGTGGGAGATATTAAAAAGTTTGCAATACACGAGACATTTGGGCAACAGTAATGACGAGCAACAACCTCCTCTTGACAAGTAAAGAAACTAATTCACCTCTCATTGTGTTTTATTTACATTCAAGCAGATTCCAAAGAGTGTCTGCTAAAAATCCATGTTAAAAACAAAAGTCGTCCGCAAAGAGGCTAACAGAGCTGTGCTGGCCTTTTGATGGGGATGTGTCCAGTTCAATACTGATGGGCATCAAGCTGGGATTGTGGCATCCCAGTGCATTACTGCTGTCTCTACAGGCAGGGAAACTGTGGTCAGCACAGACTGCTGCTGTTGTAAGCTGCTCATACAGGAAGTCTTACACAGTTGATTTTTGAAGATTTATTGCACAAATCTGTGCTTCTAAACCTCTTTTGTATCAGCTAAGTAACGCCTGACATGCTCTTTAGAGTATTATATTTAAAGTTGTACCAAAACTGTTTTAGCCACATGGTGGCAGCAAAACATGGCAGCTATAGTTAATAGATTCAGGACTTGTTAAATCAGTATGGTCCAGCAGCAGGTCTTGTTTCCAATAAACAGCTGATAATGACTCTATTTCTAGCTGTTGAGGAGGAAGGGGATGAGCTGTTGCAAAAAACCCACACCAGTGCAGCCATTAGCTGCTTGAGGTGTTTATTGGTAAGTATAAATAAATAAGAATGGGAAAGAGCAGAGTAAAATATACCATATGTGTCCTGGAAATCAAACCAAAAGTTAGAGGTTTTCAACAAGACGTCACAAAAACCAACATCTGGTTGAACTCCACGCCCTCTTCGAGCAAAATGGCCCAGATTCACGATAAGGCCCGAGTGACTAATAAATGTGTTTCACCTCAGCTTTTAACAGTGTTAAAGTATTTAACACACAGGCTCAGGCAGATTTTTGTATCCAGCATTGTCTTATATATAAACAGGTTTAGATGTATAGTTTTGGGATACAAAATAAAACATGATATATATATATAT